ACTCTTCTCTTCTGGTTTCCTCCTTCTTCTCTTCAATTCTGTCACATGATGCTTCCCATCAGCGTTTAATGGCTTCTGTCTCCAATATCTTCTTGTCTGTTCAAACAGGCAAAAAAAAAAAAAAAAAGGTTAATAACGAAACATGAAGGACAGGGAAAGTGAAAAGGAACGCGCTTTCTTCCTCTCTTTAGCAAACACAGTTGGGTTCTTCTTGGAACCTAACTTCCAATTCCCGACCAGCCCTAAACACAGCCCACCATTGGTTATTAGCTTATTATATCACCGCCATGGCGCCATGACAGCAAGATTCTCAAGCTCCTGCTTTTTTCCACTTGTTCAACTAGCTTATGAGAAGCATAAGTAACCCACGGGCTTGCTCATCAACCAACCTGCTCAAACATTCCAGCTGGTTAATTAATTAGTCCAAACACTGGAAGGTCACAAAAGTTGTTACACAAAAAAAATGCAATTAATAACGACGGAATTGATTCCTTATCGATAGAAAGAAGGGAAAATGTAAAGTTGAAGAGGACAGGTTGGATCATAATTAAAGCACACAACAGTACAGAACATAACAGATCATGATATGCGCCAAATTAGAGGCTTTTTTGGCAGCAGCAAGGAAATTGTTTTGGTGGTCCTGTTCTTTGGGAAAGGATTGCTCGAAGCGAAGTATTAATGACACAACCCCCCCACGGAATTTTAATGCAAAGAAAGCTACTCTGGCCATAATTATTGGGGGATGGCTAAGCTGCTTCAGGTTCAGAGATGAAGCAGGGTTTGGCGTATCTAGCAATACTAATAACAAACAATTACTGTTCTCCGCCCTCTTGTATAATGGTCTAATTAGATGGATACCTTAAATTGGTCTGTCATTACTTCTATACTTAAAACATAATCAACATTAATTTGTCCAGACCTGAATATCAAGTTTTGGATCTATGTTCCTATTGGAAGTGGGCAGGGATCAGCCAGCCAGCTAGTGCTCATCTGGAGTCTGGAGAGGTCCGACGTTGTAACTCAATTGAAGAAACAGCTAGGCTGTATTGGGCATGTAAAGTGATGTTCTCAAAGTTGCTCTCTTTCTAAAGTATCTAAAATATATGGACAGAAAATGATTATGTTGATGATATATATGCTTTTGATAAAAGAGCTAAAATGTTGATGAACATTCCTGGACAAGTAAAAAAGATGTGTGCTGGTTTGTTTGTGCTCCAATTATAAGATATGCATGTTTTATTTGTGAACCGAATTTCGATAGCTCAAGTTATTCGACTCAATAATAGATTTTATATTATTTCTTTTTCGGGTTTTCAGCTGAAATATTTTTGTGATTAGCACAATCGTTAGTACTGGGAGTTATCAAGATCCAAGTAAAGAAAGATTTTATCAACAAAAACTTTAACACCATGTGTTTAAAACCGATTCTTTTCAATAACCCAACTTATCAGAAACATTAATATTGTACTCCAGCCTAACATCACTTGTAAAAACCAAACAAAAAACATTCTAGATAAGATAAGGAGAAAACAAACCAAAATTGGCTTTTTTGTCCAATTTGGACCAGTAATAGTGAAGGTCAACTGCACAATGCACGACAGACACAAAGGAAAAAAGAACAATAATAAAGCGAACAAGCATGAAAACAGCAGGTAAGGAAACCATAAGTAACTTACAGATTTCTCAGCATGGCATGAATTCCACTCTCTCTCACAGCCACATCTATTCCTCTTTAGTCCTGGAAGCCGATCATACTACCAGCAATTACCAAAACAGCCCTGTATCTATGCAGTATATCCCAGTCAAACCCCTTAAAGATTAACATACCCACGGCCATACCTGACTGACATGCCAACTCAGGAAAATTTGTTCCATTGATGAGTCCCATCAATCAGCTTTCGTATATCCAACCTGGAAAAAGATTCAATTAAGTGGATCAAAACGATACACACCACACCATACCGCTAAGATCGAATTACGTTCTGGGTTGTTATATATCGCTATCGTGCAGTCTGTGTGTCCTCTTTCAATGACCAGATGCCAAAATCCACGAAAGCAAATGGCCGCACCAGTAGTAGTAGTAGTCCAAAGCTAATCCCTTCCCTTGAGCAATCAAGGTTATCCATACAATGTTCTTGCACCACAAGATTTAACTAACCCCTCCAAGATTTCGTAATCATGAATCTTGTTGGTGGGACATATATAGCTGGAATGATAAAGACAAAACATCAAGCCTCAAGGTAATCTAGCACGGTCAAGGGAAGGCACCTCTGCGACAGGTTCCTACCTAACATGTCATTCGACATTCATGAACCAAGTTCAAGTTTCTGAGGTCTTAGTTAATAGTAATTTGCTCCTGATTAGTACGACCAGCAGCTTGTAATTGAACGTGCAACGATTAGAATAGAAATGAGCATGATGGTGGAGTTGACATCAAACAGGGAGAAAGCAGTTAACAGTTTCAGGCTTTTCCCACAGAAAAGACAACAAACTACACAAGGCAAAGTGCATGCTTCTAAAAATATGATGTATGTATCAGAGGTGCATTGTATCTCAATCTCGATAGCTGCAATCTGGAATAATAGTGTTTATAGTTCCTATAAATGCTGCTCCTATAACAAACTTCGACACAAGCCGGCCACATTATTTTATGAAAGTTTTGTCAGTGCATTTTCTGACATATACAGGGGAAGGTTAAGTGTACTGTATGGACAGTTTCGAATGCCAACAACAGTTGATTAATCAGTCTCTGGTAATTAAGCAATATAACCAACTTAACTTAGGGATGCTTTGCCAAGTTGCATGTAATGCATCGTTTGATACAAATTCCACAAGGAAACTATTGTTCACGTAAGCTATGGTGGACTGTACCTATTATTGCTAAACATGCACGCAACATATAGAGATGGTTGGTATTAATTCAACACCCTATAGAATGGTTGCAACACAAATAGATTTCATTCCCAGAATGAAAAAGGGAAAAGAAAAAAACAGAAAGAGCAAAAGCGTTCAACAGCAGGGAAGGCTTTCAGTTGTTAGTTATTTTTACCAAGTGGTGAAAGGATATTGAAGATATGTACAAAACACAAGCAAGCTAAGGGTTGATGTGAGTAGTAGTTTGATAATAATTGAGCAACTTTTCTATGACGCACGGGTGGAGAAACAGAGGATGGTCTTGTAGGTATGGGACAGTGAGTTGATGGAGTTGATAGTGTGGTGGGATGGGATGTGGAGTTTTTTGGAAATGAGCATCCGATGCCCATTAGAGACCACTGGACAATGGTGGGGTTCCACCCTCATAACAACTACTCAAAGTCTCCTAAGGCCAATATAGGGAAGAACAACTAATCTCTCTTCATGTTGCTTGTTTCCAAAATCTCCTGCCTGAGTTCTCACCAAACAGTTCGATTAAGACAGTAAGCCCACAAATGGTTCTCAACGAAGAAAATCCAGTCACTATTAACAATAATGAAAACAAGGAAAGCACCTATATGTTGTTATTTTCAACTTTCACATCTCATTACTTGGAAGCTAACAAGCTGTGGTTTGTTACATTTTTACTTAATTGTTAATTATTTGTCAAGAGTGCTAATTAAGTATCTCTAGCCATGTACAGAGCAACCTGAAAATATTCTGCTTCTAAACACCGGGTCTCATGTTCAGGGTCAGATGCTCATTAATATGATTACGCATGTGAAGGTAAATGCTTTAATGACCACTAATTAGAGCATTTGGACTGGGAATACATACATACATACATACATGGTTTTCGGTTCCTATATATAAAAGTAAATAAAAACTCAGGATTCAGCTCTGGGAGTACCTTACATTACATGGCTATCCTATTTTGGGGATAATCGACAAACACAAAGCAAGAAATGTGGTGTATATCTTACTCGCATCTGCACAGACATGAGATGAGGATCAATCAATGGGCTGACCACACTACACACACATGTATACCACATGCAATGCAATGTACTCCCATCAAAATTGTCAAAACACTAGTAACACATTCACTGCCCTCTATGTTCCAACTTCTAGTTAGTCCCCACACCCACACATGTCCAATCCTATGCCCATAACCAATAGCCATGTGGGACCCATGACCCACTTGGATATGTTCCCTCTCCCCCTGCTCCTTCAAAGTTCAACCTTTCCTTTCCTAACCTAAGCAACCTCTGAAAACTAGTGCTGCAAATGAGTCGAGCTGCTCACGACACGAGTGGCTCAACGTTCGACTCGAGTAAACTCGTTCGAAACTCAGTTCATTAATAAACGAACCGAACATGAGTTAAACTTTGTTCAGCTCGCGAGCTAGATCGATTCGGTGACTTGTTGAGTTAAACTCGTGAGCTGACTCGTTCAGAGCTCATGATATGTCTCAACATGTGGCTAGAGAGCCAACTCGATTGCTGACTTATGAACGAATCAATCTATATCATATGATTTTAATTCATATGGTTATTAAATTATATATCTCGCCATATATAAAGTTTAACACGTTGAGTATGTGAGCAAAAATATATCTTATTTTCTATTTTAAAAAGAAATTATGTATCATAGATTGCTTTGATACTACGAATTAATATGATTTGGAGTAGTTAAAATTTATTAACCAAATGATATATGATACCAACAAAGTATAATATAAGATTAGCTAGCAAAATAAATCATATGTATCATGATATACAAAATGAAGTACCAAATAAAAGCCAAAGATTTTAGTAAACAAACTAGCTCGAGCTCGACTCGACTCGATTCAGTTATAAACGAGCAGAGTTCGAACTCGACTCGTTTATTAATAAGCTGAGCTCAAACTGAAGTAAAACCCGACTCGGCTCATTTACGGCCCTACTTAAAAACACATCTGGACCGTTCCCACTAGAGAAAGGAGAAATCAGAAAAGAAGAAAAAGAACCTACTTTCTCTAGAAAGAAAAAGGTGAATATATAAATAGCATTCTTGTGGGTTCTGTCCATATGGGCGGCTGTGCCTGTCCCGGTCTTGTCCCCTGAATGCATGGACAAGGTGCCTCAAATGTGCCGCTACGGCTACCGACAGCTTTAGCTTGCCTTTGTCCATAATTCATGCCTCGTTTGAGTTAGAGGCACTCACAAGCCAAATTCCCTTCTTCCAGCTCCAACCTCTCTCCTCATATTATTATTATTCGACGACTCACTTCCATTCTTCCACCCACCACCATATATACAACTAATAAGTCTATAAAATACACTCCTCCCCATTCTCACCTCACCAGAAGAAAACAAACACAACTTTTCTCCTTCCGTCCCTGCAACCACAACAGAACCCAGAAGAACAAGGCCCTAAACCTTAATCGTACTCTCTCATCTGAATTCCGACTCTTACACGGCTAAGTTAGTTGAGAAGAAATGGAAGGTGGTGTTGCATATGAGCAAGGCTTGAACCTCAAGGCAACCGAGCTCACACTTGGATTGCCAGGGACAGGGGAAACTGAAGGGCAAGGTGGTGTTAGAAACAACAACAAGCGACCTATGCCTACCTCTGAGACCAATGAAGAAGAGAGCCAAGCCCTTAAGGCTGCAGACAGAGGAAGTACTGCCCCTGCTGCTAAGTAAGTCATTCATACATACAAAACTCCAGATTTCTAGCTCTTGACTTTCCGAATCTTATCACTCCTTTTTTTTCCCCGCTTCCTGTTTGCTAATGATCTGTTCTTCGATGTTATGCAGGGCACAGATTGTTGGGTGGCCACCAATCAGATCTTACAGGAAGAACAGCTTGCAGGAAAAGAAGGACAGTGAAGGTGAAGCTAGTGGGATGTACGTGAAAGTAAGCATGGATGGTGCACCATATTTAAGGAAGATTGACCTTAAGGTCTACAGAGGCTACCCTGAGCTCCTTAAAGCATTGGAGGCCATGTTCAAGTTCGCTGCTGGTGTCTATTCTGAGAGAGAAGGCTACAAAGGGTCTGAGTACGTACCAACTTATGAAGACAAAGATGGAGACTGGATGCTCGTTGGAGATGTGCCATGGGAGTAAGTTTCTTTTCTCCTCTTCTTTTGCCCTTCTATGTGGATCGCCTTTGTTCTTGTTCTGATTTTATCCTGTCTGTGAATATGTACTTACGAGGATTTACTTTCTTCTATTGCAGCATGTTCATGTCATCCTGTAAAAGGCTGAGAATCATGAAAGGATCAGAAGCAAGAGGGTTGGGTTGTGGTGTTTGAAAATTTCCCCAGTTAAGCAGTAGCCATAGCATAGCAAATCCACAGGAAGGAAAAGGCCGAGATATGTACTTCTTACCCAAGGAAGTAATATAGAGAGCTCTTTCAGCCTGGCAGGGTTTCGCCATGGCAGAGAAGTCATTAAATTTCAAACGCCCCTCCGGAGGGGAGCTGCTAGATCTCTGCAGCTGCACAAAGTAACATGAAAGCGTGAGAAATCAGTGTGAAGTTGGAAGTTGCGGTTTCTTCTTTAAGAGTATGTAAGAACGGGTGAAAACAAGTTAAGATATAGAGATGGTGGTGGTTTTGGGCACCCCTGTATTTGGGTGCTATTTTCTTGTTGGTGCTATGTTGTGATGTGTTTTCGTCAAAGTTCTGAAATTTCATATGTGAAGCTGTTTTTTGCTTCAGTTACGTTAGATGCAGTTCGTGTAAATCAGTATGTGAATAGGAAAGAAAGAAGAACACAAGGACACACACAAGTTTTTTTTTTTTTATGAGATATTCCCTTACAATCAATATACACACGGCCTGACAAATTCAATACACGACTGTTATGATTTTCCAGGCGAAGTCTTAACTTCATGTGGTGCGTATATTGCTCAGTTCCATCTGGTAAATCCATGCGAGTTCTTGCTTCTGACCTTTGAAGCCAATTTCGAAGAACCGGAGCGCATAAGGAAATAAACACACACTAACTTAACAAAACCTTGGCCGGCATCCATAGAAACGCCTACCTAAGTTCTTCAGGGCTTAATTGTCGCACTCATTCAACAATAATACCAGACAGCTAGCAACTGCTAAATAACCAAGAAAGGAGATAGATGGAAGAGCACATGCCACTGTGGATGCTGGAAATTAAATTGAAAACCAGAACATAACGCCTAATTGTTCATTCATTAACAATTAAACTGGGTTACTAAATGAGAAGCAGGTAATGAACTTAGACAGAAATGACCGTTCTCTGCTGACTTCTATGCTAATATCTCTCTTTTTCTTTTTCCCACCGCGTTTAAGAATGCAGAATTAGTCAAGATCCCATTTTTCAGCAAGTATTACAACAAGATTCTCTGGCTGCTGTCATAACTCAGCAACTTACTACATGGTTTTCAGAGCTTTCCCACAGGGCTGTCTCTCCGTCGTGGAAGGCTTAAATTTCAGAACTGGATGTGATGTGAAATGCCATTGTGAATGAGGTAGGAGATGAAGAAAGGACTTGCTGGTTATTTCATCAGAAAGGTGAAAGGGAAAGTACCAGACTAGCAGTAACTTTCTAACCTCAGGGCTCAGGTGGTATAAGTTGTGTATGCAAGTATTCACGTTTGCCACTTTTGTTTGTTTTTCTTTACCACAGCATTAATCGACAAGCAAGTAACTCCATGTTGGGAAAGGTTAAGGCCAAAAGAATGCACATTTCCCGGGGAAATTTATAAAATACAGTGTTCTGGGAATAGAGAAAGTAGAGACTGAACTTTTCCTGCTTACTCCATAGTCAATAGCAAAGAAGAAACAACAACCCCCAGATTTCTTGCATGGACCACTTCAACCCAACCCAAAAGAAAGAAGGAAGAAGAAAAAAACAGTTGGTCACTCAGAAGTCAGAACCTTGTTCTTGTACCCGGGCTTGGTTCAGACCTCTGCTATTTGATGGGATGTATAGTCAAAAAATGATAAAATATACTAATTTAAGTTCAAAAATAAACAGCTGAGTCGTCTTCCTTCATTAGAATGGTCATAAAAGAGTTCTAATCCAAAGTTAAATTATCAATTTGGCAAACAAAATATAGTTTTTTTCTTCTTCTCCTGAATAATTAGCTAGCTATCAGCATCAACACAGATTCCTCACCGAGGCAGCCCATTCAAATGTCAACCATTCGAACCAAAGTTTCATGACAAAATAGACCTTTCTTTAACTGACCTCGAAGATTTGCATCACTTTTTCTTTTTCTAGATACAAAGCGAGGAAGCATCCAATAAAGAGAGAAAGAGTAACAAGGCTAACTCCCTTAGCATTTGAACGAAAACATCTGTTACTGGTTAGAAAGCGGTTCTACCAAGCCATGGTAGTGGCAAACAAAGTATTAAGGTTTTAAGGTCATTGTTAAGATGATGTCCCACAGCTGAAAGAGGTGGTGTTTTGTGATAAAAAAGAGGTTAGCCTAATCTCTTACCAGTAATTCTACACTATGCTATAGCTTATTTGTTTGGGCTTCTTACAGTTGCCAATTATCTGAATAATTTTAATAATTAGGCGGGATATATAATCTCATCGAGATAAGAGGAAATATCTGGGGGTTTGTAAACAGTAATTTGTCTGGTTATTCTTTCGCCTAAAGTGTGATCAGTAGATAACCACATGCCAAAAAAGTAAACCCTCCACCCCACCCACCTTTACTCATTATTAATAGTAAGATCTTATTGCAAAAGGAATTGAGTTTGTTATGATAATGGCAAACAAATGCCAGAAACTTCCCTCTGCTAGCTAATTTAACTTTTAGCAGTAATGTTCCCCCCTTGAAACAAAGAAGCAAAGTTAATCCAAAATGTTCACAGTACCTCTGCCATTGCGGTCGCCAAACGGAAAGGGTATAGATCCAGGCAGCTGTTTCAGCAGTGATGTTCCTGCAGGTTTAGAGACAAACTACTGTAAAACTTTTAGGTACAAAAAAAAAATCATTGTTTTTTCCATACTTTCCTTTGTCTAGTGGCAACTAAATAAATCATAGAAAAGTAGCAGGAAACATGATCTGACACGATTCCAGAGTTCAAATTCTAGGCGATTTTGCGTTTTGATATGGCTGTCGGTATCAGGAATCAATCAAAACGTTAGACCATTTTGCTGATTCTCAAACATATTATCATTCAGAGGGTGCAGTTTGATAACTGCAATGCAGCTCATATGCAGCCATGGCCAGTTCATTAACTTGGGGCCGTCCTACTCATGACTTTGACTAAAGTAAAAACTGCAGCTTTAAGCTACCTAATGAGAGCCATTAATGACAGGTTCAATGGCTCCACAGCTCAGACTTAGAATCATCGTAAATCATAACTTCAGAATCGCCGCATTCATAACTTCTGCGGTCAACTACACTGTTGCTGGTCTAAATTGGGTTGTTTAGAGTTAGGCATCATGAAATTAAGGCTAACAATGCTGCACATGCAACAAGTTATACGAAGGTTCCCAGGGTCAAAGATCATCCAAGAATACCAAACGCAGGTTATGTGTATGCTAAGTTATTTCCACCAACTAGCAGGCTATAGCGAGCAATTAAAGGAATAGTCAGCTATGTGGTCTGTTCTTAGTACATAGGATGCCAAGAAATAGTCAGCTAATTGAACTTTTAATTAATCCCATATATTGTTTCTCCACAATCATGCATAACCAAAATACGATTCAATATCTAAACAATCTCAAGAATTCATGGGCACTAGGTTCGAGGAGCAAAACATCTGGCAGAAACCTTGTGCTAACATCGCTTTTCAGAAAACAAATTCCAATTCTCTACAGATATTCATTTCCCACCAGAACAACATACGTCATATTGTATCTCATTCAACAATGCACATAAGAAATGGCCTCACACCTAAGAACCAAATAGCTGAAATATGTAGAGGCATCCAACTTGTTTACATCGCAACATCTTGTAAATGCTGCAATTGTGTAATGAAGAAAACGGGATCGAAAAGCTTACTCTGAATCCTGATCTTTAAATCATGCTCGAGAAAAGCAACTGCACCAGCAATGGCTCAGAACCTCAGACTGGTAACTACTCCACACACCAGTAGTCTACATTTTTCGAATTCAAGCTTCCCATGGATGTTCTAGGTCTCAAAAAACGTAGTGAGCAGAGGCGTGATCACCGGTCGTCCGCACAGTAAGAAAGCAACAGCGACAGCAAAACCCCCACCAATAGAGCAGTTAAAAACCCAAGAATCGGAATTCAACGGCGGAACCAACGCTCGCGGCGTCCAAGTAAGAGGTGGGGAAATCGGGTCCGCTAAAGAGGGCTGCGGCGCGGCTATGAGAGTTTGATTCGGGAAATTCATCGAACAGGTTGTGATCAACTGGATTCACGCCCATTCCGCGCCGCGCTTGTTGGAGAATACGCAACCACGATCCCGTTTCATCTGATCGCCAATGATGGAGGAATCGGTGCTCTCCGGAACTGTTCGCACAAACATTGGGTGTAAATCACTAATCACTGATCAGAAGACGGAGCCCCCTCTTCCACAATGGCGCGAAACATTTTGGGAGTCATCACTAATCCGTCCATTCGAATAATTCGAATTTTGTACCAGAGCGGAGAGCGCCCTACCTATTTCTAGGGCTGGGCTTGCGGGCGGATCATCCGCGGATTTGGGCCGACCCACCCGCATTTGACCCAAATTTCATTAAGTGGGTGGGTCTGTGGGTGGGTGACGGGTTGCGATGGGAGTCATCCGTCGGGTGGTGGGTGGGTTGTGGGTGAGTGTGCGGGTGACCCGCTCAACCCAAGAGCAAAAAGATCAAAGTCGTTGGCGCTAGAGAGAGGAGAGTGGAGACGTTAGATATAAACTCGGACTGCTCCTAGAGTTTGAACCTCAAAGCCAACCTTCCAAATAGAGATCCCATCTTCTTCCCTTTACTTTTTCTTCTAATTCTTGTGCCTAGATCACCACTCTTTCCGTTGTGGAATTATTTTCATTAGTTCCTTGCACCTAATAATCGTCTCAATCTGTAGAAAAATCTTTCATAATAGAATTTCTATCCAATTTAAGAACTAATTCGACATTTTTCGCCCTATTTCAACTTCTTGTTTCCCTTGATGATTCTCGTCACCTATTATCATGTCAAGTTGAATCTTTTATATTGTATACATTGTGATGTGGGTGAACCCACAAAACCACCCGCATCATCCACCATCCGCCCGACCCAACCCGAGACTAAATGTGGGTGGGTGGTGGGTTAAAAATTATCAATCCGTTTAAGCGCGGGTGGGTGCATTTTTTAGTCAAAATCCACCCAACCCACCCAATGCCCACCCCTACCTATTTCTGTCACGCGTCAAATTGGGCCCAGCATTCACTTCATTGAGCCCAACCTTCACTCGGACTGGGCTACCCTTTTTCGGGTCAGATACCAGGTTTAAGACTATAAGTTTAAGCATATGCTTAAACCATTTCTATTGGATGATAGAAATTTCGTTAGTTAAAAGGAGTTATTAGTTAATAAGTTGTTAGGGATAAATGGGGTATATGAAAAAATAATTAATTTCATTAACAAATAAAAATAATTGTTCTCCCTCTTAAACTCGGCATTAAATGAAAATAAGGAACTTAAACTCGGCATAATTAAATATGGAAATTCGGAAATAAAATTAAAGATTTTAAAAATGGAAATTCAAAATAAAAATGTTCACACTATCTCTCTCCGTAGCAACTTGGATTTACATTATTAATGTTTTGCGATGACATTATCAACGTTTAAAAATTAATAATATATTTCATCATTATTAATAATTTCAAAAAATTAATCAATGCTTTAAGATTATATTATCAACGATTTTAGATCAATTGTTAACGGTTTAGAATCTCATAATTGACACTTATGAATGAATTATCAAAGTTATGCAACATCAACATTAATGATTTGAATAACATTATTATTGATTTACAATATATTTATTAATGATTCACGTTGGGTTCATAACTAGACAATCATAGCTTCTTAGAATGACTTCCAATCACATTATTAACATTTATGAAATGGATTATTATTGATATACCTATCATTATTTACAATTTCTATATACTTATCATTATTTTAATATTATAAGAGTTGAGATCGAAACGTTAATAATGGCATTCTTAATCAGTAATAACTAGGTTGTCTTTATGTTGAAAGTACAAGTAAACCATTGATAATGATTGCATGTAAATGGGTAATACCCATAGTACATGTTATTAAAAACTACGGATGACAATGGGTCGGGTCGGGAACGGATAGTGCATATTCGCTACCCTACCCAGAGTAGTTCGGGTTTTACCCATACCCATACCCACATAAGAAACGGGTAGAAAATCTAAACCATGCCCATACCCGTTCGGGTTTCGGTTATCCATGGTTATCCATGGGTAATAGTTTCTCTTTATAACTCCAACCAATATGTTAATATTGACATGTATTCTCACGTTACGTAAGACGAAAAGTACGACAATAATTCGCTAGAATTAAGAAAATTAATTAAAACAACACAATTTCATAAAACTATTATATGTATATGCTAAATATAAAATATGTAAGAGAAAAATAATGATTATTTCTAGACAAAATACATATGCATGTGTATAATCGGGCGGGTTCGAGTTGGATAGTGAGAAAAACATGCCCACCCATTAACCGCAATATTCGGGTTCGGGTGTTATCCTACCCGATTAGGTCGGATTCGGGCGGATATCCACGGTTACGGATATTTTTGCCATCCCTATTAAAAACTCTCTTCTCAAAATGTTGATAATGATATAAAACAAATAATTAGTCAAGCAAACTAACATTCACACCCCAACACCAAATTATTAATAACGATGAAACAAATCATTGAAAACTAAATTGTATTTTGTTGAAAACGAAATTGTATTTCCTTGAAAACAAGCACAAAAACATAATAATGTTTATTGGAGCGAATTTTCAGTATCATATATCATCCAAAAATTTCATATGAATATTTTATTTGTTCAAAACTATAACAAAAATGCTAACAATGATCAGGTTTAACATTAAAAAATGACATCAAGCTGCTGATGCTGATATTTAAAATCGTTAATAACGAAGAAGCAAACTCATTGATCATGAATTCAATTTCGTTGGAAACCAATACAAAATCATTAATAATATTCGGATTCAATACTATGTATCCAATACCATTAAAAACGTAAAAACAATATTGTACACTATTCAAATCTAAAACAAAAACGTCAAGAATAATTGGCTTTGACAATAATTGACTTCAATATTAAATTTAACATCAAACTCAAGCCATTATTAACAAATCGTAGTAGGCTTTTCAAGTTTAGATGATGGTGGGCAGGTGTTATATAATGATAAGTTGGATGATGTCAATGTTTACTATATCACATTAATATAGAGATAATTTCTTATCATTTTCAAAAATAATAATTTCTTTCTCATTAACTAGATTACGTCTCGACCCCTGAAACGTGTTTCTTTATCAGTATCACACATATTAAATATAGTTACCAAATATATACAAATGATGGATGAGATGCATTTTGGTTAAACGTTTTTTAGCAATTAGAACTTAAGTCTAATTATTATAATATAAAAGAATCAAAACCATTGTTAGACGTGAAACCATATAATAATTTTAATGACCCAACAGAAAATAATAATTTTACTAAACTAAACTTATTTTTATAAGTAATATGTTATTAAAATGAATTGGCACGTGATTAAATTGATACGTTTCTTTATTCTCCGTTGATAAAATATATTTCTTTGTCGAATAATATGATCGCACATTTACATGGTTCGAGTAAACAATATTTATTCAGGATCGGCAGGATCCCATCCACCCTTATGCTACTCTGTTGGGTCTCATCCGTAGCAAGCTCAGTCAGGACTGGCTGGTCAAGCTGTCTCATACATACCGTGAAGGGAATAGAGTCGCGGACTGGCTCTCGAAGCACAGTCTCGTCTATCCCTATGGGATGCATGAGCTGGTTGACCTGCCTCTGGGAGTGGTACCTCTTATTAGAGACAATTTGATGGGGGTTACTTTTGAACGCCGGATTGTGGCGAACTCCCCTTCTTCCATTTCTTGATTCTCCTCCTCTGTACCTTGTTGTCTCTTTCTCTGGCTTCGGCCTCCTTGTAATGAAAAAAAAAAAAAAATCTATTGACCAAAATTATAAATTTCATTTAATACCCTTTTAATTACTATGAATAGTTATTCTATATGCAATGAATTTGATAAAAAGTTTGCTCAAACTTTTAAGAGAATATAATTTAATAAAAAATTTATTTATTTATTTTGCACCAATAAATGTATAAATCATTCATAAAAAATTTGAACAGACCTTACTGCCATATCGCATATTACTATACTCGCTCATACTTTCAGAATAATGTCTATTGTGCATTTATTGTAGATAATGAACTTTAATTCCTCATCTGAAATGTGTTTAATTTTTTCGTTTGAATCACTTTAACTTTAGGTTAAAACATAAAGAAAGAGAATTAAATATAATTTATCTTCTATTATTGTTGATTCTTAATCTAAAAGTCATTGATATATTAGAGATTTATTGATGAAAGATTTTCAACCAAAACATATGTTATAACAGGTCAAGCTTCCTCGCTCCCTCACCCCCAATAACACACCCTATGATTCGTTTAGTTTACATCCTAAGTGATGTTATTATATTCGCGAATCAAACCATTGATCAAGATGACATTGGTATTAGAGGAGAAAGACTTTGCTTGGATTATATAAGAGCGCTCTATCCGGATGCGGTTAAGGCTCATCCTAGAGCTATGCTGTCTAGTAGGGGTGGGCATTGGGTGGATCGGGTGGATTTTGACCATAAAATGCATCCACCCGCGCTTAAACGGATTGATAATTTTTAACCCACCACCCACCCACATTTAGTCTCGGGTTGGGTCGGGCGGATGGTGGATGATGCGGGTGGGTTTGTGGGTTCACCCACATCACAATGTATATAATATAAAGGAATCAACTTGACATGATAATATGCGAAGAGAATCATCGAGGGAAACAAGAAGTTGAAATAGGGCGAAAAATGTTGAATTAGTTCTTAAATTGGATAGAAATTCTATTATGAAAGAGTTTTCTACATATTGAGATGATTATTAGGTGCAAGGAACTAAGGAAAATAATTCCACAAAGGAAAGAGCGGTGATCTAGACACAAGAATTAGAGGAAAAAGTAAAGGGAAGAAGAGGGGATTTCTATTTGGAAGGTTGGCTTTGAGGTTCAAACTCCAGGAGCAGTCCGAGTTTATATCTGACGTCTCCACTCTCCTCTCTCTAGCGCCAACGACTTTGATCTTTTTGCTGTTGGGTTGAGCGGGTCACCCGCACACTCACCCACAACCCACCCACCA